CCCGCTATGTCTGCCCATAGTCTAATTCCCCTCCTCCAACTTTACAAAACACCCTCTCCCCCACCATCTTCCCGCCCATTTCCCTCTGCACCTCACCCCCACCCCCTCCATCCCTGGCCCCTTCATAATGAGGAGACAGGGACAGAATGACAGGGTCAAGTACAGGTGGAGACACTCAGCTAGGGCTTAGAACATTGCAGGGTTCCTTGTTTGAGGTGGGAGCTGGACCTGCTGTTTAGTCCCTCTGAGCCCCAGTTCCTCGTGTATAAACTATGGGTGATCAGTGGTGCAGGTTTCCTCACTAGGAATGAAATAATGGGGTGAAACTCTGCAAATGGTGGTCTTTGAAGAGACAAAGGAAATCCCACAGGACAATTGCAATACTGTTAGTCCTACTTGCTCCTAGCAGACCTGGTTGGAATTGAACCAGAACCCTGTCACTTACTTGCTGTGGGATTTGGGCCTGTTTTTAACTTCCCTAGACCTCAGTTTCAATATTTATAAAATGGCTACCAACTGCAAAGAGCTGTGAGGAGGTTGAAATGGGATGGAGTACAGTATCCAGTGGCTTGTTGGACAATTTACATACCAGGATTTTTCTTGTATATTCCCATTTATCTGGGGGGATGAAGGTGATTGGCTCCACCTTACTCTTAAGGAAACAAGTTCTGATAGGCTCCACGTTGTTTGCCCAGGAAAATCCAATTAGAAGCAGGTCTTTCTATTTCAAGCCAAACATTCTTAAGCAAACAAACAAAACCCACCATCATAGTCAATGTCACTCAAGCCTTCACTGTGTGCTGGGCATTTTGCATATACAATCTGTGACTACCATGCCATGAGTAGGGTGTGCACTGGACCTTACAGATAAGGAAGTTGAGATGTAAGGAGGTTAAGTCACTTGCCCAATGTCACACAGCTAGATTCCAGCATAGTGGCCCTAACCCTGACTGCTCCAGGTCACTAGGCTCTGTCCTGATCTGGCAGGCCATGGACTCCAACATGGTTCACACCAGAAAGTAGCACAAGACTAAGATCCCTGAAGGAACCTCCAGGCTTGACCTCAGCTCCCAATAGATTTCCTAGTCCTGTAGGGCCACAGGCCCCAGTGCTTTTCTGTGTCCCAAATGTGAGACAAGTGCACACTGCACCAAGAGGCTCTCCTGCCTCAGGAGGGCAGCGAACCCGGGTACAAGTGGGTGGAGGTGGAGTCCTGACCCTGTGGAGCTGGTAATCCAGCTCTGAACCTTGGCTTCCCTGACTGTAAAACGGGCTTCTAGAACTTTCAATGTCTCAGTGTGAGATGAAGCTCTCATGAGGTCATAGACATGACCTCAAAACATGTAAATTCAAAAGTGCCCCATCCCTGTGAGTGATGTGTATTTTCTTATATTGAATGACAGAAATCCCCTGAAGTTAGGAAAGAGTCATAGTGTGAAACTTACAAGGAGGGACACCAAGAAGATGCTGTAATGCCAGGTCCCTGGCAGGAGTAAAGATTAGGCCACCACTGGTGGGAAGGCCACTTGGGGCCTTACATGGTGGTCCCTCTGATTAAAGGACCTTAATCTGGCTGTTATTCACACCCTCTTTTCTCACCCCCCTGTTCAGCCCCTTCAGCTGCCTGTGACTATTAATCTCAGCCCAGGTGCTGTGGTTTCAGGGCAAGCGGGAGAGGAACAGTCACTTCCTAGGTATCTCCTGTGTGTCAGGGGCTGGCCAGGGCAGTACCAGTCTAATTTTACAGATGGAGAAAAGGCTTAGGCAGTAAATGTCTGGCCCAAGGTCACATTGCTACTAAATGATAGATCCAGAATTGATATTCAGGTCTGCCTGACCCCAAAGCCAGAGCTGTCATCATATGCCCTCTCAAATGGGAATGTGGTCATGAGTAGAGTGCTTGCCTAGCAGGTACAAGGCTCTGGGTTCTATTCCCAACATCTTAAAAAAAAACCAATTGGGCTGTGAGTGTAGCTCACTTGCCTAGCATGCATAAAACCCATTTCCCCAACCCTAAAGTAAAGATACATTCTATAGCTCTTTAGCGTCTCCTTGCTCCCAACCTTAGCCCTGTTCCATCTGGAGGTGCCAAAGGCCAGTTAGTCCATGTTTTATGGAAAGCTAGTTTCTTTGGCCAGGAGAGGGTGACCTTAGCTCCGGACCAGCTGTGTCATGCTTTGTGCAGCCTGCCAGGGCATCAGTACTCTTGTGTATCTACCCCCATGCATTAATGGACCCCAGCAGTTCCCTGGGGAGCCACTCTGCCTCTGGTAAGTCAACTTGAGAGTCCTCCTTGAATTCTTTCCCTTAGACCCCAGAAAATGAGGATAGAACCAAACCAAATTGCCTCTGACACCCAGAACAGTGACTTTAAAAAGTGAAACTGAAACATCATAGATGATAAGATAAGGCTGGTGGTGTTAACTTGGACCAGATGGTCTTGTGAGGAGGACTTGCAGCTGGTCTGCTTAGTGAGGATGATGGCAAATGCATTCATGTACAGTGGCTGGTGACAGATGGAAACAGAGCTCCAAAAGGTTCAGAGTCTTCTGTCTTCTTTGTACAGAAGGACCGCAGCCCAGCACTGGGTCCCCAGGCACAGGTGGGCTTTTTCCATGGTTTCCACCATTCCTGCTGCTCCCAGGACAGCCACCCTCCTGAGCAGCCAATTAGTCATTGGCAGACATTATAAGAGTCAGTCATGGCCCTTGGGCCAGGTCAGTTCCTGCTCTGGGGACTCAGAAGGGGGCTGAAGAGGCAGAGATGGCCCGAGGGAGATCAGAGAGATATCTTTTTTTTTTCTTTTATTTATATGTGTGTACAATGTTTGGGTCATTTCTCCCCCCTTCCCCCCACCCCCTCCCTTACACCCCCTCCTTCCCTTTCCCCCCCACCCCCTTGCTACCAGGCAGAAGCTATTTTTGCCCTTATCTCTAATTTTGTTGAAGAGAGAGTATAAGCAATAATAGGAAGGACCAAGAGTTTTTGCTAGTTGAGATAAGGATAGCTATACAGGGAGATGACTTGCATTGCTTTCCTGTGTATGTGTGTTACCTTCTAGGTTAATTCTTCTTGATCTAATCTTTTCTCTAGTTCCTGGTCCCCTTCTCCTATTGGCCTCTGTTGCTTTAAAGTATCTGCATTAGTTTCTCTGCATTGAGGGCAACAATTGCTATCTAGTTTTTTGGGTGTCTTACCTATCCTCATACCTCCCAGGTGTGCTCTTGCTTTAACGTAAGATCGAAGTTCAGTCCCCTTGTTGTGTTTACCCTTGATCTAATGTCTGTATATGAGGGAGAACATAGAATTTTTGGTCTTTTGGCCAGGCTAACCTCCCTCAGAATGATGTTCTCCAATTCTATCCATTTACCAGCAAATGATAACATTTTGCTCTTCTTCATGACTGCATAAAATTCCATTGTGTATAGATACCACATTTTCTTGATCCTGTCGTCAGTAGTGGGGCATCTTGGCTGTTTCCATAACTTGGCTATTGTAAATAGTGCTGCAATAAACAAGGGTGTGCAGATGGCTCTGGAGTAACCTGTGTCACAGTTTTTTGGGTATATCCCCAAGAGTGGTATTGCTGGATCATAAGGTAGATCTATGTTTAGATTTTTAAGAAGCCTCCAAATTTTTTTCCAGAGTGGTATAGAGGGCGAGAGGGAGGAGAGAAGGGGCCCAATCTGATGGACAATAAGCCAAGGACATTCAAGCATTTCCCATGAGCCCTGACCCCCCCCCCCAGCACCCTGTCCTAGGCTTAGTGCACCCAAAGGTGGGGGCTCCCCAGACAGAAGCAGTACTGTTGCTCCTTGGCAACAAGGAGCTATATTCTTTCGTTCAACCCTTCTCAAGGAGGCCTGGAGCCTGACTTTGGGGGCTCAAATCTTACTGCTACTTTCTAGCTCTGAGAAGTAGATCAAGTTTCTTAATCTCGCTGCCTCTGTTCTCCCTGTGCAAAAATAGGAATGATAATGGTTCCTAACCTACCTTGTAGGGTTAGGATGGTTAAATGAGTAACTATGTGTAAAGCACTTACAGCATGTTCAGTCTTCCAATGATAAATTAACACAGGAAATATGAATTAATAAATCACTCAACCTACAGCTGAGCAAGCTTAAGGATCCTGTCCAAGCATGATGAAATCACACCACAGACGTACCTTGTTCTTGCTTCTCCAGTTCCTCTGGGAGTGGCGGGGTGGGGGGGAGGTGTCAGAGAGAAAGAGAGAGAGAGAGAGAGCTGCAAATGTGTGTGTGCAGGAATTCTAGTGATACTGAGTTCTAGGGTACAAAGGAGCTCTTCTTTTCTTCTTTCTTTTTTTTTAAATTGAGGTACTGGGGTTTGAACTCAGAGTCTCCCACTTGCCAGGCAGGTGCTCTACCACTTGAGTCACACCTCCAGTCCAAGGTTTTTCTTAATTGGTATTCTTCAGACACTTAGACAACAGATTATAGTAACAGCAGTGTTGTATAATGGTTAAGTTTTGTTGTTGTTTTGAGCTCAGGCTGGCCTTGAATTTGCTACCCTCCTGAGTTCTGGGATTATAGGTATGCTCAACCCGTGCTTGGCTGGTGTTTTATAGTCTAATACACATACATGAAAGAAAAGGATGGTGATGTAGGGGTGGAAGTGAAGAGGGCAGAAAGGGTGGTTCCTTGCCTATGGGGGCCTGCATTTCTTCCATATGAGGTCTCAGGGTGAGGAGAGCCCAGAAACCCCTTCTTCTGACCCTCCCTAACACATGTAGCCTCAGCAGGTGCCCCTGAGCCCCAGGTAATCAGCCCATTGCCCTGCAGCTCTGCAGGTCCTGGAAGGGGGACACTGGAGTGGAGCAGAGAGGCAGCAGACTCTGAACCTTCCTTGTATCCTTGGCCACACTTTTCTTCTTGGTCCTTCCTTTGTCCAGCCATTTGCCCCCAACATATTATTCTCCATTCAGCAAGGCCCACAGCCAGGGTGGCTGGCCTGAGGGATGCCCTTCACTCTGTTTGTAGAATGCTTTCCCGGCAAAGGCATCTCCAGCCCGGACTTCTCCAGCCCGAGCACCCCCTTCCAGGTCATCATCGGGCAGGTCATCATCTGTCACGTCATCATCTGTCAGGTCAGCCTCCACGACATCCTCTCCGACAAGAGTGTACCTGGTTAGAGCAACACCACTAGGGGCCGTTCCCACCCGGGCATCTCCTGCCAGGTCAGCGCCAGCCACCAGGGTCACCAGGGAGAGCCCAGGTAAGGGGGATGCTGCAGGGAGGGCAGAGGATGAGGGAAGCCAGCTGTGGGCAATGGGGAGATCTCAGGTGGCACTTTCTGCTCCTTGTGCCCCCGAGACAATGATGTAGGAGAACAGCTGGGTGAGCAGAAAGGAACCATCACATAAAAACACAGAATAGTGGGAAACGAGGGGCATGGAGGAATGGAGGAAGAAACCTGGACCAACAAAGCAATTTGTAACCTTGGAGACTGCTCAGCTGGGGACAGAGCACCGATTTCAAGGGGTAGCTAGAGATTGGGCTACTCCTTGGGCCGTGTTGTGTGTCTGCTGGGAAAGCTGGAGACTACAGTGGAGAATAAGGTCATGATCAATGGACCAGTGTCTGGGAAGAGCAGGAAGGGAGGGATTCTGACCAGGCAGACACCCCTACTTCCAGCCTTCTAGACCGTGGGTTATATGGTTCAGCTACAGGAAGTCAGAGAGGCCTGTGGACCTGTTTCCACACATCGCAGACGTCAGCCTGTCCCCCTACCACAAAGACCTGGCTAGTAGGTGACGCATCCCAGTCTTATCCTCTCAAGGGTAGGTGAGGCTCTTTTGGTGAGCTGGGCTTTGGAACCAGACATACTGCATTTGAATCCCTGCTGGGCTGCTCACTAGCCAAGAAACCTTGGGCAGATTATTTCATTTCCATGAGCCTCAGTTTCTCCTTTTGTAAAATGGGCCTAATAAGACATAGCTCACAAGGATGTAGTGAGAATGAAGTAGAACATGAGCACAGTGCCTGACTGGCCCAGAAGAGAGGTGACATAAAAGGTTATCAGGCAGGCCTGAAGTGCAGAGGTCCTAGCAGGGCCCTCCTAGGCCAGCCTTGCTTCCTTTTCTCTCCTCCTCCACACCGGACTCCTCCCCAATAGCTTCCCCTCTCTACCACCTGCCCCTAGGTCTCAGCCTGCCCAAGTTCTCCTGGCAGGAGGCCCAGAAGCAGCTGCCATTCATCGCGTGTGTGCTCCTCCTCATCGCCCTCGTGGTCTCACTCATCCTTCTCTGTGAGTTGAATGGAGGGAGCAGGGTGGGTTCTAGTCATCGCTGAGTGGAGTCGGGTACTCTGCAGCGACAGAGACTTTAGACACTCCTGGCTATTATGTCTACACAGGGACACCCCTACAAATGGCCTTGAAACACGGTGCAGCCAGGTCCCTTTGAGGTGGCTGGGTGAAGACTGTAGGACACTGGGGAGCCTGGGCTCAGGTCCATCTGTACTGCTACTTACTGTGCAACTCACTGGAGTGAATGGGTTAACCATGCTGAGCTCCATTTCTGCATCTTCAGACAGAAGGATGTTCATCCATTCATTTTAACTTACAAGTGCTATAAGATCTCATCCCAGCTTCTTTGGAGTATGAGGACTAAGTGAGAAGATGGCACAATGCCTGGGACAAAATTTCATTCTAAGAATTCCAGCTACTAGAACAAACAAGCAAACAGATCAGGCATGGTAGCTCATGTCTATAATCCCAGCTATTGGGGAAGTAGAGATTAGGAGAATCAAGGTTTGAGGCAAGCTCAGGCAAACAGTTAGTGAGACCCCATTTCATCTAATAAGCCGGGCCTTGTGGTATGTACCTGTGATTCCAGCCAAGCAGGAGGCATAGGTAGGAGGATTGTAATCTGAGGCTAGTCGCCCCAAGCAAAAATGTGAGACATTATCTGAAAGATAACTAAAGCAAAAAAGGGCTGGGGGTGTGGCTCAAGTAAGCATAAAGCCCTGAGTTCAAACCCCAGTACCAAAAAAAAAAAAAAAATCATGAAGCATTGGTTAGAAAAGCCTCCAATGGTTATTTGGTCTGCAGGATATGGTATTCAGTGCTAGGAGTTCAGGCCTCTCACTTTCTCTTTGGAAAAGATACTCAAGACACGCCCTGGGCTCTGCTCAGCAGCAGACTAGGAGCCCAGCATGGTGGAGAATCTAGGAAGTGAGTCAAGATGCACACCCATCACACTGTCCTGTGCTTGGGAAATCATAGACTCTTAGGGGGACAGAGCTGGAAATAACTCAAGCCAAATACTTTGGAGAGTGATTGCAAAGAAGAGGTGACAGCTGTACAGGCCAGAGTGCGGAGCGAGATGAGGACCTGAAAGACGAGAGAGCAGTTGTGACCTGAATTGGGCACCTGAGCAGATGGGCAGCTACTGGACATTGAAGGGGGGGTGTTGTGTGGGTAAGGCTGGCATGGGAGAAAGGGAGGGACCCTCCTAGTCAGAGGGGAGAGTGCACATTTGGGGACCTGAGGGCCATCTGTTTGGCTTGGCAAGGCCAGGCTGTGTGGCAGAGAGCTGAGGAGTAAGGATTCTGCAGAAGAGGTAGCACAGGCTGGCGATGGCGGGGTGGACGAGGACCAGGAAACACCTGGTATCTGGCAGGGTTGTTGGAGGAAGAGGGCCATGTGGGAGGAGGCGGCGTGATGGTAAAGCCTGGCTTCAGCATCACACATTCCTGCCTCTGCTCCTGCAGCTGTGTGGCTTCAGCAGGCTAATTAACATTCTGAGCCTCAGTTTCTCCATCTGCTGACCAGGCAGTGCAATCGCTGTCACGATGCATGTAAAGGCCTCCAGGCCTCTGGGTGATGCCAACCACAGGGTAACTCCTATCAGGGTTCCTGCACTGCTCCCTCTCCCTTTCCTAGCACAGGCACTCCCTTCCATGAGAGCACTGGGAATGACCCAGAATGGACACGTAGCACCCAAGGGCTGGCTCACCAAATAGAATTAAAGGTTGAAGCCTAGTTTTGCAGCATTTCCTGGAGTCCCCATGACTCCTTCAGGCCAGGAGTTAGTGTGACTTGTGTAGGCCACCAACTTGCTACCCAGTGGGGTCAGGACTAGAGCCTGGCCTCCTGGCTCCCCAGCAGAGCTCTCTCCATAACACAAGGAGGGGTTCATGACTGCAGCTTCCTGAACATCTGAGAGGGGGTTGCCTGAAACACCAGGGCTTGGGAGCAGGACAGGAAGAGGAGGGGCTAGACCAAAAGATCAGGAGGGACTCGGAAGGAGCTGGCCCACTAGGGCAGTCTTCACCTTGGTGACTGACAGACAGCATACTGGGCCAGGGGAGAATGTGGAGGTTAAAAGTAGGCTGGGTGAGGGGCCAGAATGCAGGTTTCTGGGGCTTCCAAGGAGAGCTGTTTCTAGGTAGTAGGGGTCAAAGTTCTGAGTTTGGAAGAGATTGGTGTTAGAGACAGAGGAAGTAATGAAGCTGATATTCACATAAGATTTGTGAAGTTGTTTTCTTGTACATTTGGGAACCAGTTACCTAGAGTTGTTCATCAAGCGAGAAGACATTTAAGACAGGGACTGGGACAGAGGACACTCCTTGTTTAGGGAAGAGGGAGGAGGAAGCAAATCCAGAAGCCACTGAGGTAGGAAGTACAGAAACCCTTGAGAAGACAGGATAGTTGTGTTGTACAGGATAGAAATTTCTCTGCTGTGACCGTGTAAAACACAGAGAAGAGAAGATGCCAAAGAGGCTCTGAAGGGAGAAGGTGGGATACTGGAAAAGGAAGTTTCTCTGACCACTACCTCGGCCAGCATGTAGGGTGGAGGAGCTCCCAAAGTAGTGTCCACCTCTCTTTCTGTCTCTCTGGGTGGCTGGCTGCTTGAGTCTGCCTGTGGCTACCCTGCTTCCAGGGACTTTCTGGAGCATTCTGGAGCATTCCTGAGCAGTCTTTCTCTCCATACAGATGGGGGACGAGAGCCCCAGAGTTCGAGAGGGATTGCAGGTCGGTGCCTCAGAACCCCCAGGGCCTTGGGCTGCTTAGTGAGCAGTCTATTTGGAGCTGGTGGTGACTCTGCCATCTGTCTTGTTTTTCTCTAGTCTACTTCTGGCGGGGTCACACAGGGATCAAGTACAAGGAGCCAGTAGAGAGCTGCCCCATGCAAGCCGTTCGCTGTGATGGGGTGGTGGACTGCAAGCTGAAGAGCGATGAGCTGGGCTGTGGTAAGGAGGCCAGGCATGGGGAATATGTGCCCATGTGTGCACGTGTACGCCAGTGTGTGCATGCATGTGTATGTGTGTACTCTGGCATGTGCAAGCTGTATTACAAATTGTGTAACAGTGCAAACAGAAGGCACTAGACAGAGAATCAGAATATCTGGGTTATAATTGCAATAGATGTGGGTTTGAAACCTGTCTTTGAGCATTGTGTGAGTTGGATAAGTGACTTACCTTCTCTGGGCTTCAGTTTGCTAATTCCTATTTATTTATTTTATTAATTCAATTATTTATTTTGTGGTACAGGGGTTTAAACTCAACGTCTATATCTTGAATCATACCACCTGCCCTTTTTGGTGAAGGGCTTTTTCAAGATAGGGACTCACAGACAATTTGCTGGGGGCTGGCTTCGAACTGTGATCCTCCTGATCTCTGCCTTCTGAGTAGCTAGGATTATAGGTGTGAGCCACTGGCGCCTGACTTGCTAATTCTTGAAGTGAGTGGATTGGACAAGATTAGTGACTCTCAAATAAAATCTGATGACTCTCAAGTATCAAATAGAAAAGCAGAATAGCTCTAGCTGGGGGCAGGGAGGGGTCTGTCAGGAGCCTCCTCCTTATGCTCTTCCTCCTTATCCAGCAGGTGACCTTTAACCTACCCCCCTTATGGTTTCTTGAAGTCCTATACAAGCATGAGATCTATTTAAGCTATGGTCCTGGGAGGTTTGTGCATGTGTTATGTGTGTAGAGTCTTGCTGTGGTGTGTGTATGTGTGTGTGTGTATGTGTGTGTGTGTTCTTCCCACTCATTTCACTTCTGCATTTACCCACAATGATAACCATCTGTGACTGAGACTGTCTTCTGAGCACTCCATCAGATCATGGGTTTTTATTTCCCTTGTCATCTTTTCCTTTGGGCATGTCACAGCCCTCTCAGGGTGACAGCTCCTTGGTGGTGTTTGCCCCTCTTCCAGCAATGGCCTCCTGTATCCTGCTAGAAGGACAGCTTCCCTGTCCCAGCCCCTTGCTTTGGCTCTGCCATTACTGAATGATTTGGGCCTGTGGCCATCACTCCTTGGGTCACTCTCGGGGACTTCTCCAAGACCTCAGTGAGGAATCCCAGGACAAGAGCTTCTCAGAGCCCCCCTCAGCTCATCCTCCAAGAGCCTGAAGCTTCCTGGCACTGAGGGCCTGCTCTGCCCTTTTCTGCCCTGCAGTGCGGTTTGATTGGGACAAGTCTCTGCTTAAAGTCTACTCCGGGACCTCCCATGAGTGGCTCCCTGTCTGCAGCAGCAACTGGAACAATTCTGACTCCAAGAAGACCTGCCAGCAGCTAGGGTTTGAGAGGTAAGCCTTGAGGTCCTGGCCTCAGGGGTGTTGCAGGCATATCACTGGAACCTCAGGTTAAAAAGACTGAGGCTCAGGAGGTTGAGGCAGGAGGATAGGGAGTTCAAGGCCAGTCTGGGCTACATAGGGAGACCCTGTCTCAAAAAAAAAAAAAAAAGGCAAGAGGAAAAAGATCCTAGGGAACCAGGGCTGATCTCACCAGCTCAGGACACCCTTGAGTCATTCAAAAAGACAGTGACCCAGGGATCCTGTGGTTATAGGGCAAGCTGTTTCCCTGAGGCCCAGGCAATGATCAGTGGGTCTGTAATAGCGTCATTCTCCTCAAGGGCTTTGCATCAAAGCACCCTCACATCCATCACCGCACACTGCATGGTTACGGTGGGCCTGGGAGGCAGGTGGGTGTTGGGCAGATCCTGTCTTCTTACACCCGGGCACTGGAAGCTCGGGCTGTGCAAAGCCCTTTGTAGACCATGAACGGTAGCAGTTGTGGCTTGGACTAGAATGCATCAAATTGGAATGAGATGGGGTTGGTGTGGCCCTGCCAAGTCCTAAAAAACCATGGCTCTAAAGGTTTTACAAGGAGGCAAAGATGATTTTGAGGATTCACCAATATGTGTGAAGTTCTGGGGAGAAAGGTTTAGGATTTCCCAGTGAGTTCTCTGTAGAAGAAACATTTAGAAAACCAGGGTTAAGGACTAGGACCTAGAACAGTTTGTCTGTCCCCACCTGAGCCTCAGAGTCCTGGTCCATGAATGAAAGGTCGGATCGATTCAGATGGAAGACCATGGATATCTGTTATCCATGAGTTGTATGACCTTGTGCAAGTCTGAACCTTCCTTAGGTGTTCAGTTCTTTGAGTGTCACTTGTGCAAATAGCCTTCTCTGAGCTTTAATGAGATGTCAGAAACAGTGTGACACCCAGTCATAAAGAGGTAAGATGGGATCACACCCTTCCAGAGCCTCTAGTATGGTATGTGAGAGGAAGGCTTATAGCAACAGTCCCGCACAAAGCTGTGTATGGAGAGGGTGCCTAACTGCTTGGAAGAGAAAGCAGAGAATGGAGGAATGGGTCCTCTGGGTAGAGGAACAGCATGTGCAAAGGTCTGGTCTCATCCAAGGGGGTAGCATGTTCTAGAAATACGTACTAATTCCATGCAGAGAGAGGAATGTACCAGAATCACTTGGGGTGCTTATAAAAATGCCCCCCCAGAATCCAAGGCTGTAGGGTTAGGACCTAGAGGTTTGCTTAGCAAACACCCCAGGCACACTGCTCTGCAAGGCACCAGTGTGCCTGTGGAATCAGTCACCTGGGGTTTTTGACATTAGATTGGGTCTGGGGTCCTGCTGATGCCACATGATTCATGGATCAGTTTGGATAAAAAGGGGCTGCATGGTTGTTTCTCCCAGGAGAGCATGCACCAGAATCACCTGGGAACCTGTTAAAAGACAGGCTGGTGGGCACACCCCCAGAACTTCTGATTCAATAGCTTTGGATCAGGGCCAAAACATGCATGTCTAACTAGGGGATACTGATGCGTCCAGTCCAGGACCATACTTTAAAAGTACTGGGCTGGCACATAGGACTGGTGGGGCAGGAGCAGAGTGTGTAGGTGGGATCAGGCGATGGGGGCCTTGTCTGCTATGTAAAAGAGAGGTTGCCTGGCAGACCATGACAGTTGGCCTCTGTCTGCAGAGCCAGGAAGGAGGAGGTGAGTGCTCTAAGGCCAGTGGGAGACTTGGGCTCTTTGGGTTCATCCTTATTCCCTTCCTTCTTGCAGTGCTTACCGAACAACCGAGGTGGCCCTCAGGGACTTTGCCAGCAGTTTCTCAGTCTCTGACTACAACTCCACCATCCTGGAAAGCCTGCACAGGTACAGTGGGGCAGCCAGGTTCTTGTGTGTGAGCTAGGGATAGAGGGGCTGGGAGGGGCTTTGAGCCAGGGGACCCTCTCCCTGTCTTCCTGTGACCCAGGTTCCAGGAGGGCATCACCAATGATCAGAGCACCTCCAACACAGTCCTCCTCACTTCCTGGCTTAAAGAATTTTATTAAGGCTTGGTACAGAGGGTACGGTGAGCACAGAGGTGCCCCAAGAGTTTGCCTGGCTGTCAGAGACAGTTAATAAACCTTGGGGTCCCCACAGTTTAGACTGAGAGCTTCTGCAGAGAGTGAACTTGGGGTGGGGAAGGAAGAGGATCCTGGGGCTGGTGAAGGGCAGAGGGGACAGGAGCAGGAGACTTAGGTACAAGTGATCAGGCCCATCTAGAAGCATTATTGGCTTTCCCTCGAGCCTTCCCATTCTGTCGTTTTTGTACTGCAGCCCCTCCTTGTCCTGGCCTCACAGAGGGGAGATTGGGGGGCATTCCTGAGCTGGTGTTATTACCTTGTGAAGGAAGAGAAGAAGCTAGGCTCCAAGAGAAGGGCTGGTGCACCTGGATGCCTGTTCTGGGTTGGGTGGTTCTGTATGCTACCTTGAAGAGCTATAACAGAGGCTCACTAGGCCACCTGTTAGTTGTAGAGACACACCAGGACAATAAAGTCCTGGGTTCCAGGAACATGGATCTGGCCAATGTGTGCAGTCCACCATAAAAAACTGGGGGAGGGAGGGGATGAGTGTAGAGATCATTTCTTCCGAGCCATTCCTATTCCTGGAGAAAGCACCAGGAGGAAGAATGTCCCATTGGGAGAGAGAAGGTCAGAATCTCCATTCCTCATGCCAAGGGCAGTTTCCTTGAAATGGGATAGGATCTGAGGCTTTCTGGAGGAGGTGGCCACTGTGACCTTTTCCTACCTTCTGTGTCTCCTCCTGCAGGTCTGAATGCCCTTCCCAGCGTTATGTCTCTCTCCAGTGCTCCCGTAAGATGCTCTTCTTGGATAGTGGCCTGTGCAGAATGGGAGTCAGGGGTGGGGCCCTTCTGAGGGAGATAATTGCCCCTAGGGATCCAAGCCAGGAAGAAGGGTATAGCCAGCAGGCCTCCTCAGGGCCAGGGCCCTGGAAGACACTTGGGCAGCCTAGGGTAAGACTTCCCTTCTCCTGACTCTGGTGGAAGCTCAGTTCAGCAACCTCTCTTATTCCAAGGAAGCCATTTGAATCTCATGGACTCTGGGCAGGCTGAGGACTGGGAGAGGAGAGCAGTGTGGGGTCAGCCATGAGCTCTGCATCAACAGACAGGGAACAGGACAGAAATGTGTCATTAAAACCAACCCTCACCGAGCATGGTGTATGTGGAAGGCACTGTGCCCTGCAATAGCCTTACAAAACAGATGTCGTTGCTGTTCATTCACTGAAAGAAGGACAAAATGTTCCCTTCCCTTCCCCTGTTAGGTGAGGAGCTGAACTCTGACCTCAGGTCTGACCCCAAAGCCCAGGGTCTGCATTTTCAGTGATGACTGAGGGCAGGGTGGTCACAGTGCTGTGGATGGAGTGCTCGCTCTCTCTACACCCTCCACCACCACTCTGCTGGCTCCTGTGCCCATTCAAGAAGAAAAGACAAGATTTGTCTGGATTGCCTTGTTCTAGAACATGCCTGGAGATGTTCCCTTGAGATGAAGGGTTTCAACAGCACTAAATGACCTGTCCAGGCACCACTGGGTACAAACCCACCTACGTGTCACAGAAAGTCTGTTTCTCCTTTGTTTTGAAATGAAAGGTCCCCATCACAGTCAACTCAGGGTGATTTAGAATTTGTTTGCCTTCCTGAGCTCCTGATGGCAGCCCTGGCTTCACCCTCAATACTCTAATAGCCGGCTCAATGCCAAGGCATCAGGCACTGGGTAGGCATTTGTTAAATCAATGGGAGGGAGGGAGGAAGGAAGGAAGGAAGAAAAGAAGAAGGGAGGGAGGAAGGAAGGGAGGAAGGAAGAGAAGGGAAGAGGAACCTGCTATCAAACTTCCTACTGGCTGTTCCCAGTAACCTAGCCCTCCCAGTGGAATTTCTGTTTGGGCAGGAAAGAGCCATGCTACGTTATATTAAGTGACAAAGAGGTAGCTCATGAGTGGGTGAGTAGGTGCCTGCCAGGTCCTCCCTGGCCCCAGGGAATGTGGCAAGGGCGCTAAGAAAAAGTAGGGTCATGATTTGTCTCTTCACTTTCCTCAGACTGTGGCCTGAGAGCCATGACCGGGCGGATTGTGGGAGGGGCATTGGCCCCAGAGAGCAAGTGGCCTTGGCAAATCAGTCTGCACTTCGGCACCACCCACATCTGTGGGGGCACACTCATCGATGCCCAGTGGGTGCTTACTGCTGCCCACTGCTTCTTTGTGTAAGTGTCTGAGGGCCTTGTGAATCAATGGCATCGGGGACCAGAGATCACCGGGGATGGGAGATAGCCAGGAAAGGCTGGTGGCAGACCCACCTTTGTGTGGAGGAGGATTTTGATATGAGTTTAGTCTCCATAAGCCAGGCCACTTTGCTGCTGCTTGGGTGGTCACTGAAGTATGGGTTGGAGGTGCTTATTCTGAGCACAGCCCAAGCATGAAAAACATGCCACTGGTTGCCCCTAGGAAGAGTGAGGAAGGCAGGAAGAGAGCCTTAGGACCCTTCCCGCTGGAGAGCAAGTGAAAGAAAGAGGCATCAGGTTTGTTGTTGCCTTCTGCAGCCAGAAGGAGCAGCGAGGAGCCTGAAAATCATGAATGCTGTCCACAGAATTGAGAGAGGGAGATTGAAGGAGGACAGTGAAGTCAGTTATTCCCTTCTGGGGGCCCACAGTCCAGACCTTAGGGGCACTGGATCCCAGTCCTGAATCTTCAGCAGATCACTTTGTCCTGTCTAAATTTCTGTGACTGATGGGGGTGCTACACACCTGCCATATGTTCTATCCTTGGTGGTGTGTACAGGAGAGTGAACACCACACAGAGGTCTTGTTCATCTCTTTCCCTTTATCACTGCAAAGTGTAGAGTGGGCAGTTCAGAACATTCTTGGGGAAAAAGGGGTATTTTACTGTGTACTTCTTAAGATGGAGGGCTCTCTCCAGAGGTGATTTCATCCGTCCTCCTGTCCTTGAGCTGGTGCTCCTGCTGAGGCTCTCTGTGTGTAGCAGACACTGCCAGTGAACTCTGCCAGGCTCATGACTGGACTGTGCTCTCTTGTGGCTCATGAAGGACCCGGGAGAAGATCCTGGAGGGCTGGAAGGTGTATGCTGGCACCAGCAACCTGCGCCAGCTGCCTGAGGCTGCCTCTATCTCCCAGATCATCATCAATGGCAATTACACTGATGAGCAGGACGACTATGACATCGCCCTCCTGAGGCTCTCCAAGCCCCTGACCTTGTCCGGTGAGTGACTCTGTGCCCCGTCCTCCTTCGCCAGCACCCTTGGACTTGGCAGCTCCTATTGACCTATCTGGGGACCCCAAGATATGATTCGATAACAGCACAGTAGGTATCAAAGACTTGTAAGATCATTAAGTTGGACACTTTTATTTGGGGGAACACTGAGGCCCAGGGATTAGAACTAAGTTTGCCCCTCTCACTTTGGGCATTGCTTCTCAGGTTTCCATACTTCACATCTCCAGGACTTGGAGACTGATCTCAATATAACTAGATTGAATTGTTTCACTGGTAGTAACTGAGCACTTAACAGAGGCCAGACACAGTGGTAGGCATTTGATGTGTGTGATTGCACTTGCTCTTTCCAGACAACCCTGTGGAGCAGGTCCTATTATTAGTTTCATTTGACGTATGAGGAAGTGGTGCTTTAGAGAGAGATAATTATCTGAGGCTGAGAGTGATAGGTGGCAGCTTCAGGACGGGATCCAGGTCCATTTGACTCCCAAGCAATGTTCTTCCCACTCCTGGGAGGACAAGTTGTAGAGTGGAAAATGTGAGCTAAGCACACACTTGACCAATGAACTGTTGCGAAGCTGGAGCAAAGGGCAAATGAGGCTACACAATATGAATGCTGCAGAAGTTCTCAGATCACTGTGGTCAAAGGGTGCCAGTGGCTCGTACCTATAATCCTAGCTGATCAGGAGGCAGACTCACAGTTTGAAGCCAGCCCAAGCAAATAGTTCTTTAGACCCAATCTTGAAAAATACCCAACTAAAAAGGCTGGTGGAGTGGCTTAAGTGGTAGAGCGCCTGCTTAGCAAGCATGAGGATTTGAGTTCAAAACCCCAGTATTGCCAAAAAAAAAAGAAGAATTTGTTCATTCATTTGCTTACTTATCAAATACTTGTTTTGTTTGGCTTATACAGCCAGCTCTGCTCTTGTAATAGCAAATAGAACAAAATAGGTGATGCATGCCAAGACAACTAGAAGAAACCTATGATGCAGTGTTGGGGGGAAGGGGAGCTATGATGGCACAGATGGGGATAGCCAATCAGACTTGGCAGGCTAGGAGGGGCTTGCCTGAGAGGGGATAGCAAGGTAGGTTCTGAAAAGATTGGTGGGAACAGGAAAAAGGGGCTCAGGAGGAACCCTGAAGAATGGGGTCAAGGTTGTCTAGCATAAACAAAGTCACATGGGTAGGAAGAGCAAAGTACCTCCTGTGGAAGGCCAGGATTTCCAGAAGCTTTGGAGGGCCTGCTGGTTAGTCCAGCCATTCTAGTGTTGTGAGTCTGAGCTGGTGTTTCCTGGTGTATTCATTATGGAGGCAATGTCTGTTATGAGTCAGAGCAGTTAGCTCATCAGAGTGGGATGAGGAGGAGGATCCCTGGGCACAGCTTGGATGGGCAGGGCTGGCCCTGACCTGCCCACCAGACCCACCCACCAGCGCCCTGTCTGTACCTCTATCCCTGTCCATGGAGCCTTGGGCTAAGGTGAGGGGTGCCAATGGCTTCTCACCCTGCCACTTACGCCACTGTGGACTTGAATTCAAGCTGATAATCAGTCTGCAGGGCCAGAACAGGCTTTCTCAAGTTCATTTGGCTAAACATCCAGCTCTTACCTCTCACCCACCCCCATCCCCTTGTTTGAAATTCCAAAACAAACTAAGTAATTTCAAAAGTCAAATGAAAGCTATTAAAATATTGCTTTTCTGACTATGGAGGTCCACCTGTAAGCACTGAGTCAAATGAAAGCTATTAAAATACTGCTTTTCTGACTATGGAGGTCCACCTGTAAGCACTGAGAGGTTCCTGGGCCAGAAACTGATCCTTAGCCTGAAAATGGCAACTGAGATATATGTACCTTGTGATCAGACCGTGTGCCCTCATTTTTGGCTTACAAATTAGGGCAGATTTTTCTTAAACTGGTTTGGTTCAAGTTCTAAACAACTTGAAGTCACAGTACTTTCTGAAAAAACTTACTGATAAATTTAATCCCCCTATAAAAACATCTGGAATCTATAACAATGGAGCTTATAATAGTGTTACATGTTTTTAAGACTTTGCATTTCAAAAATGGCCATAGACAATGTCATGAATTGAGCTATGTCAAAAACATAAAAAGACACACTTGTGTCTTTCCACAACGTCAGAATTTATTGAATAGCAATAAATTCAAAAGTTATGTCAATTTCATTGATGTTAATTTACCAAGTAATACTGGTGTTACTTGAGAGCCATGAGCCATTGACAAACAGAATGGCTTCTTGCTTAAGAATGACTGAGAAAGGGCTAACGCCACTGTTAGGTTGAAAGAGACCCTGCCAAGGTAAAGAGAGGTATTGCAGGTGGTTAGATAAAATATTCACATAATGATCCCTGTTGCAGAGCTGTTATGTAAAAATACAGAGCTAGTTCAAGGCTCAGAGCTGCTTCCAAGATTTCTGGGTCTGGATAAAGGCAATTTTGCCATTCAAGTAGGTCACATCAAGCAGGAAGATCAGGCTGAGCAGAAGCTCTGGGGGACTAGGTCAGGAGTTTATAGCTTGTCATGGTTTGATGATGATTCATGATGGTCTCGTAATGGTTGGTGGGTGCTGCAGTACCTCATACGACCCAGGTGTGGGGGTTCATCTTGTGTTGGTCTGGTGCATGCGTAGGACAAGCTCTTGGGCCTGATTTTTCTGATATGGGTTTGATACACTCTTGTGTTCATTCCTGGTTTAGTTTGATAAGTTCATAGGTAGTGATCTTTTATTCGTGTAAATAAGTTATTTATTAGTCTGTTTCATGGTTTGTGCTGGACAGATGATGGTTGTTGTTTATTTGCACAAACAAGATGCAGAGTCATTGTGCCTCAACATTTGCTCTCAATATGGCACATACTGCCATATTATAAAATGGAGTCACTCAGGGCAAGGCGCAGCCTGAAAGCCACTGTTCTGTAAAGTACAGAGTAACTTAAAGCAGGGCACAGTCTGATCTGCACAGATAAGAAGTCATGGTTTGTGGTTTTTGTTAATAACTGATGCTGCCATGCATATGGTGGTACATACCTGTAATCCCAGCACTCAGAAGGTTGAGGCAGAAAGATCACAACTTCAAGGCCAGTCTGGGCCAAACAGTGAAACCCTGTCTCAAAAACAACAAAACCATGGCTGGGTGCCAGTGGCTCTCCCCTATAATCCTAGCTATTCAGGAGGCAGAGATCAGGAGGATTGAAGTTCAAAACCAGCTGGGGCAAATAGTTTGAGAGATCCTAGCTAGTAAAAAAACCCTTCACAAAAAAAGGACTGGTGGTGTGGCTCAATGTGTAGGCCCTGAGTTCAAGCCCCAGTACCACAAAAAAAAAAAAAAAAGCCACAATTATCCATTTATTTACTTGTGTGTGTCTCTAGCAGACAAAATGTATAGACACCAACATTTAAAACCCAAATTGTAAAAAAAGAATTTCACAGTCATCCCTTTCTTCCTTCTTTCCTCCCCAACCTTAATGTTCACTGAGCACTTAGTCTGTGTCAGGCATTAGTCTAGGTGCTAAATGCAACAGAGAACATAACAAATGATTGAGAACACTGAGAAATCTTATCAACTAATAAATCCCTCCTGCGAGGTGGAGTGTGACCATTCACACTATAGAGCATCAAGGGACACCAGTCTGCAGGGGGAGCTTACGAAGTGGTACTCAGCAACACCTTCAAACACTGCTGACTGTGGCAGCAAGTGAGCAATGGTTGTGCTCTGAGGAAAAGGCATGGAAGAGTCTCAGCCAGGACAGCCACTCTTGGTGGGTAGAGACCTTCAGCTGCCTAACTTCAGCCTGGCAAAAAGGAAGCTTCCAAGGCTGTGCATCTGCCTAGGATGGCAACCACTGGAATCATAATGGCGCTGAGGACTCTGGCAGCACCCCAAGGGCTGGAGGGGTCAGATGAAGTGATTTGAGTTTCTTTCCTGGTCAGTTGAGGCCCTAGAGGATTCAGAGCTACTCTGGGAGCAAGGATAGGGCTCCTAGAACATTGGTGCTCCAGCCCCCACCCCCACCCCATCAAAACCTTCCAACCTTCTTCCTTTGTTGATACCTTGAGGCCTTATTGCAGCTCACATCCATCCTGCCTGCCTTCCCATGCACGGACAGACCTTCAACCTCAACGAGACCTGCTGGATCACAGGCTTTGGCAAAACCAAGGAGACTGATGGTGAGGGGCAGAGACACTAGGCTGTGTGTGTGGCTGTGTGTAAGCCATGTGTCTGGGTGTATGGACGAGGGCCTGTCTAGATGAGAGCTGGGTATAGAGATTCATGGCATGGGCTTGAATGTTCATGTGTGTACATAGAAACCTGTAGTATGTCAACACAATTGCTGTGACAGTGTCCTCCAGGCAAGACCACCAGAAAAGTTCTATAATGAAGAGGTTGGATTCACTGCTCATGGCAACCAGGAAGAACACATACCATGGATAACTGTGGGTGTCTCCATAAGAGGATATTAGAGAGGGCTTTTCATAGGATGCACTCCACTTGGGAAGAGTTCAAAGAACAGGACTTTTCTCTAGATTAAATGCTTTTGGAAAGTAGGGGTAACTGTGTGACTGTGAAGCTTAGTAATCTTACCCAGAATCTAAAGTTACCATGGCAGAGAAGCACAGTCCCTCATATTGTCTGAGGGAGGAGATGTTTGATAATTTTGTGGTTTGTATCGGAACTTTGTTTTTGTCTATCTTAAACAGGATGATGAAAGGTCTTGTTTTGCCTCACCTGATTCCAGACACAGAGTGCCTTGTCTGGTGTCAGTTCTCTAAGATTGTCTATGTCAAGAAGGACACCTCAGCCTGGCCAGCCTGGCTGTGAGACTCAGGCCAGCTCCATGAATCAGGGCCACTTTTCCCTGGCTTGGTGTGATGGAGTGATGACCGGCCTAGACACAGCCTCCTTTCCATTTACTAGCTGTGTGACTATGGGCAAGTCTCTCCTTCAGCCCTAGGTGTCCCCACCTATAAAGAGATCAGCAAGACCTATCCCCTTGAGGACACAGTTTCCAAAATCAAAGTGGTAGCTATCTGATGGTGCTTTGAATGTAGACAAATGTGCCTGTCAGGTAGCCTGATAGGTTTGAGTTTATGTACATATATGTCTTTGTTTTGTGTGCAGTGAGTTGTTTCTGGTGTGAAGATGTATGTGTCCATAAGTCCTGGGTGTCCTACCACAGAGGGGCCTCCCTTGGGCTAGGTCCAGGTGATGCCTTGAATTCCCAGGAAGCTGGGAGTCTGGTCTTAGTGGTGCAGCTGGAAGGTTGTAAGGCTGTCCAGCGCCTCACTAGTTCCCATCCTCTCTTCTTTACCCTCACCTCACTGAAGAGAAGACATCCCCTGTCCTTCGTGAGGTGCAGGTCAACCTCATCGACTTCAAGAAGTGCAATGACTACTCAGTCTATGACAGCTACCTTACCCCGAGGATGATGTGTGCTGGGGACCTTCGAGGAGGCAGAGACTCCTGCCAGGTGAGGCTGCTTGTGGGTGAGGCTCAGGCCCAAGACACCAGGGATGGGGAGTTGGGATTGGCATGGGACTCAGGGCCCTCCCCCACCTAGCTGACAGTTGTGTCTCCCTTGCAGGGAGACAGTGGGGGGCCTCTTGTCTGTGAGCAGAACAACCGCTGGTACCTAGCAGGTGTCACCAGCTGGGGCACAGGCTGTGGACAGAAAAACAAACCGGGTGTGTACACCAAAGTGACAGAAGTCCTTCCCTGGATTTACAGCAAGATGGAGGTGAGAGCACTGCACAGGGACAGAGCCTGGAGGAAAGCCAAGGGGTTCTTGGGGTATGGAAAGAGGTCCCCTCAGCCCTTTGCATTGGGGGATGTTCTAGTCAGGGTCAAATGTCAGGCTTGGGATCAACCCAAGTGTCTGCATTTCTTTGCCTCCTTTCCTTCCTTCAGAACATAGCCCAGAGGTAAAAGGGTGACCTTAGGCTCAGGGTCAGCCCCAATACCACTCTTCTGTCCAGTGATGGCTGAGGTGTGAGCAACCAAAGTGGCCATAGAGTGGAGGCCATTCTCCATGGCAGGAAATTGAGCATCAAGAAACAGGAATCTGGGCCTCCTATCTGTAGCTGTGAAGTCCAGGCCTTCGCTGCTTGCGCTCAGTGCAGCATTCAGCAAACGTGGGAAGGCCACTCCAGAAGTAGTGTGGTGGAAGGACAGGAGCTCAAAATACTTCTGCTCCTTCCCTGTGCTCACTCTTTTCTCAGAGGCCATACCAAGGATGGTTGGGCTGAAGGGTAGGCCTTGGACACCATGCTACTCTTCCCCTCCCTGCTGCGGACTTTGTGTTCCCTGCCCACTTTCACCCTGCTCTACCTGTCTCTTCCTCAGAGTGAGGTGCACTTCCAGAAATCCTAACCAGCTCCACCTCACGGCACTGGCTGCTATGATGACTCAGGCTGAAGGGACAGCCATTTGCAATGTCTGAACCAATGGCTACAAGGCACCTTCATTATGTCCACCTCCATTGTTTGCTGCCTCTGTGAGAATATGTGTGTGTGTGTGTGTGTGTGTGTGTTGTTCTTCCAAGTTCTTGAAACCAGAACTGTCAACTCTTCTGGAAATCCCAGGCTGGAATTCCTCTGGAGACAAGAGTTTGAGCACCATGGATGTTCCTGGGAGTCCATGAATGAATGGAGGAGGTGGAGGAATCAAAATAATTCTTAGAGAAGGGCCTAGAAGGTGACCACAGGAGTTCCTGATCTTTTCAGTTGGACACTGGCCCAGAGTGGGCAGACACCCAGCAGCCCAGGTGACGCCATCACTGCCCTGGCAATGGACAACGGGTTTTCATGGGGTGCCAGCTTCCCAGTGTCTGGACCATTCCTATTGGTGTTACGCGCATCGCACTCTTGCTCAGACCTCCTGCAGTGGCCATGGATGTCCAGAGTAAGACGGCTGGGGCCATCCAGGCTGAGGACTATAACTATGGTTCTATTTGTTTGGTCATAAGTTGTTGGAATGGATTTTATCTTATTTTATTTTTTATATTTAAGAAATAGAAATAGATGTACTTTTAAAGAGTCTTCAAAACTTGTAGGGACTTTGAGAATTAGCATTAATCACACCAAGAATTCCAGAAGACTCTGGAACTACTCTTGTGTCCTGCAAAATGTCCCTGGCTTCAAGTGACCAGATGAAGGGCAGTGATGAAGCCCCCAGGATGGACATCCCCAAGTCAGTGCAGTGACTGGGGCCCCTATGAGTACTCAGGGAAGTGAATCCTCATTCGGGCTGCAGACAAATCCAATACAGAGAACCACAAACTGCTCCTGCCTCCGAGGGCTACCGATGCATGAAGAAATGAAGACACGGACACTGCCCCTGCTTGGGCTCTCAGGAGCCCCCGGGAGGTCCAGGCAATGGCATCACTCATACCCAGGACCTGTGCTGAGACCGTGGGGTTTGTTCTCATCTTTCTCCATCTTTCAGTTTCTCAGTTGTTCTAGAAACATAGCAGTGACAAGGAAAGGGCCATGGAAAGAAAGCAAACACTGTCCCCAGGCCATCCAAATAGCTCTTCTGGAAGGTCTGAATTGGCCCTGCTCCTATAAGTCTGCAGTGTGGCCAGTCTTGCCAGCCAAAGGCCTGGGCCTCCCCCAGGCTGGTCTCTGGACCACCTGCTCTTCCTCAGCCCCATTCTCCTCACTTTCTTTGGGCTATTCAGGATTCTCAAAGGCGGGTCCAAGCCCAGCCTGGCCTAGCTCCGCTCCTGCAGTCATCCAGGGAAAAGACTGTCTCTGAAGAGCAGGCTGGAGGTGGTCAGATGGCTGGGCAGTGTCTAATGGGCCTGGATACGTTGGGGAATGTCGTCAAAGCTGGGAAGGAGGACAATATTTGTGACTGCAGAAGCCCTCAGCAATGATCTTCAGCAATAAAAGTTGTGTGACTCGAAGATTTGGTGTTGAATGTGTCCCTGGTGACCTAGATAGAAAATTGAGACTGCCCGACCCGGTGCCCAGACATCCTCAGCTGTGGTTCTTCTGTGTTTGGGTTCTCTTCACCTAGTCACACATCCATTCATTGATCCATTCATCAACATTGTCAGTGTCTCCTCTGTGCCAGGTACTTGTGCTAGGCCCAGAGGTACACAGAGCATGGCAGTACTCTTAAGGACCTGGGTCATAACCCAGTGTGACAGAAGCTGTGATTGAGTGTGAACACCATGCTTGGCACATGGACAAAGGAGCCACCAGCCACACCTAGAGAGATCAGGGAAGGCTTTGCAGAGAAGGTGAAGTTTGAAATGTGCCTTAAAGAACAGGTGAACCTTCCCAAAGTAGGAGGGGGCCTGAGGGGCTAACTCAGCAAGAGGCGTGTTCCCAAGGAAGCCCCAATGCTTACTCAGCTATGTTTAAGAGAATTGGTTGGGTGGTCCCATTGGCCTCTTCTGAAATATCTACCCCTTGATGCTGGACTCTTACTTTTCCAGCATTTTCTATGTTGACCTCAACAGTTATGATCTCACTGGTGAGTTCTCAGCACCCAGAACCCCACACATGCATGCTTCTAACCATGGCACAGGATTCTCCAGATCTGTACCCCACGTGTCTCGCCCTTGGACATCTCAATTTGTTTTAATCTCTCATATTAATGCCAGGGCAAGTCCTTCATCTCTATTCTTGCTCCATCTGTACAAGAAGGCATAGGGAAGGTGCAAGGGCCATGCCTACGCTATTCCTGGGTGGGGAAACACCCACTCCAATAATTTGCACAATATTCATGGCTTAGCCCAACTAAGTCCTCCATTAACAGTCCAGTGAGGGTGTTCTGATCGGTGGAAGGCTGGTGTCTGTCCATCTTGTGACTTTGCCATGTCCACTGTTGTCTACTTATGACTAGAAGGAAAACACGAAGAAGGCACAACCACTTCTTAAATATTCTGGCCCAGAAGTGACACATGACCTTTCCACTCACATTTTATAGGTCCAGGCGTGTGACACAACATCACTTAGATGCGATACGATTGGAAGATGCAGACATTGGCTAATTCCCATGGGAGGACAAACACTCATTTTGGAGGACAACAAGCCCACCGGAGAAAGCTGGCTATCACTCCAAGTGCCAGGTCTGGGACAGAGAGTTAGGGCTTAGGCCATTTCTGTTCCTTTCTCCTTAGAAACTTGGTTTTCCCCATATTTGTTAGGCTTGCTAGGATGATTGACAGGTGTGTGTGTGTGTGAGAGAGAGACAGAGACAGAGACAGAGACACAAGAGAGAGACAGAGAGATAAAAAACAGGCTCTAGATAGAAAAAGGGGGTTGGGGACATGATATAAGTGGTAGAGCACTTGCTTAGCAAGTGTGAGGCCCTAGGTTCAATTCCCAGTACTGCGAGAGCAAAATTCTCTTAGTCCAGAACATCTATAAAGGTTATACAATTCAAGGAAGAGGAGGGAGATGATGGGGCTTCTAAAACCAGTCCACAATGTCTAGTGAGTTATGGGAGGGTGGGATATGGGGAAATTGTCCTATGTTCCAAACCCCAGGTATCTCCACGGACCAAACTCTGACTTTGCCAATTCTATCGACTGCTGAATTGCCACGGAGTTTCTATGGGGTAGGAGAAGACAGCCAAGTGAGCTTGCAGGAGGAAAGGCAGGCGATGGCTCTTTGGAGAAGCAGTCACTTATAGCCTAGCTGGTGATCTGGCTGCCTGTGGGATTTGGTTAGATTCCCAAGGGCATTGTTTCCCATAATTGCTTTGGCCATTGTCCTGATGCAACTGGGAGGACTTGGGGAGGGGGGGGGAGCTTGCAATGACAATGGTGAGTGTAATGATAACAGCCGACACTCACTGAGCGCTTGCTCTGCGCCAGGTGCTGCACGGAACACCTGATGTGTATTATCTCCTGTGGGCACAGTGATGCTTGAAGTAGGCATTGCTATTAAGCCCTGTTTCACCAATGAGAAGACAAAGGCCAAGTGCAAAAAGCCTTCCAAAACCGCACAACCACCCAGCGGCAGAGTTGGACTTTGAATGCACTCTGTGATTTTAAAAACTGTCTTCCTGCACTCTGCACAATGCTGCTTTCTAAAGCCAGGTGAAGTCCTCCTAGCTGTGACCTCACAGGGCCCTGCCATCTGGCTCTGTGTATCTTTCCAAAACAGGAAGAGGAACAACTCCCCAGAGAAGTCTGTGCACACCCTTCTGAGTGTCACATGACTAGAGGCTAAGACTAGGCAGTTTCCAGAACCTTGGAGAAGGGTGTCATTAGTGGGAAGAGGCCTCTCCTTCACCCCCACTTTCTGGGAGGTCCTTCTGAGCCCTGACACCCAGAACACCTCACTGTCTCCTCCATGTGAGGTGGGTGGCTCTGACAGGCACAAGCTATTCATTCCCTACCTCTTCTGCACTGGTCCAGGCTTCCTGTCCCTTGTGGAATCTGTTGCCATCCCAGGAAGTAAGCACGATGGGGTCTCACAATGGGTTTGCCAGAGAACGGGAAGGCCCATCTCTGGACTACCCAAGCAGGAGAAAGATGAGGGCATGACCTGGCCTTGGTCCTCCCCAGCTCAGCTCCTTCCAGCAGGACATGAGACTGTAGACACCACAGGATGCTTCTCTGTCCAAACCATGAATCTCGGAAGAGGTCTTCACTACTCTGCTTTGAATAATTCCTCCCAATTACACCACTGTAGTGGAGAAGGTGCTGGAGTTGGAATCGAAGTGCCTGGAGGTCCAAATTCCAGCCCTGGCACTTACTTAGTTATGCATCTTGGGCTACCATTTATTTAGAATGTGATCTTGGGCAAGTCAACCTATCTGTTTCCTCATTGTCAGTTGGGTGTATCTATCCTACATTTGCAAAATCAAATGGGATGATGAATATAAACACAGAGAGAAAAATAATTGGCACATTGTGCCCTCTGAAAACACTGTTGAGTTTGCAGCAAACAGACTAGTTCCTCGCCACCACATCCCTTCATCAAACAAATGATCTAAGAAAGGAAAATACAGATAAATCTTCAAGTTCTCCCCTGCACAAACTTTCCTCTTAGTTTCTCAGCAATGGGTTGATCTTTGAGGGGGTGACTCCACTGAGTTAAGCTCACTCTTCTGCTCTCTCTTTTCACCCATGGGGCCAGGGTAGCCTGTCCCTGAAAGAATGCTCCTCTAGGGGAAGTTAATGTCCTGCCCTGCTCAGCCAATGGAGTTGGGCAGCCAGAGCTGTGAGGGGCACACATCCTTCCCCACCTCAACCCACAGCCATCTGGCCCCTGCATCATCGCACCGGTGAACACCCATATGGCCATATCTGATAAACACTTGGGAATCTCCATTCTGGAACTTTCCACAGCCATTACTATTGCGTCTCTCTTCCCTTTCATGAAATTCCCCTGACTTCCATGACCTCT